CACAATGGAATTTATATCCTTCTGATAAAATAAAGGGTGTGGTGTCTCATAAGTCTTTCAATGAGCGAGAGCATCTAGTAAATGAGGTTCTCCTTCTATCTCGGCTTAGAGAGCAAATTAAATCCCGATAAAAGAGGAAGTGAGTTTAGTGTGGACTATTTCTTATTGAGTTATGTACGTTCTAGAAACCAGACCTATCTTTCCATGGGAGAATGTCCGTAGCGCTGAGGCATATGCTGCAAGGAAAGGCCATGAGATAGTGTAAGAAGTTTAGTTCGGCGAGGTATGCACAAATCGGCATCTGTGTGGACACGCGGATGGGCGATTTCCAGGAAGCAGTTCAGAAGAAAGAAGATTACGCGATCAGTAGAAAAAGAATAGTACAGGCCAGACGTTTTGGATTCTTCCATAAAGCCATCATCAGCGACGATCGCAGATAATGATGGAAGCAGCAGGTCATTGCGCTTGTTGATGGACTGCTGGCCAGGGAACCATGACTCGAAGGGTTCATAGATAACGCGGACGTCACCTTGTGCGAGGATTTCGATCTCATGCAATTTAAAAAGCATGGTCGGGTCTCGTCGAGTTAGCTGCCACCTGAGAGCTAGCGTCTTTCCTCCTCCTCGCCACTGCCGCTTGCCCGGTTCTTCGTGCCCAAAGTAATCTTTCGGTTTCAGTGACGTAGATGCCTTGTTCAACTTTAACTTAGGGCTCGAATTTCTGACATCTGCCTTGGACAACACAGTCTGCTTGTCTACACAATTCTTGGAAAAAATCGAATCGATAAGGATGCTGCTGAAGGACTTTATGCTATAATTTGGTGCTACGTCCCTTTTTATTTTTATATCGCAGGACGTGAAAATCGAGACCATCGAATTATTCTTACCAGACAATTACGATGAAACAGAGGATTGCCTAGGACACGCCCAATTCTTTCACGTCCTGAAGTTCTGTCTGAAGAAGTACTTTACGTTCTGCAGAAGAGTCTACAAGCATGTTGGGGGCACGCTCACGGATTCGCACATTTTTGTGATGGTCTTGGAACGGTTGAAGTTGCTGGCTTTCGTAAACCACAGACCGATATTCTGAACTCGTTAAGTGAATGACGCCATCGTTCTCGTTGAACGGGAGCAGGTGTTACAGTTCAAAAACGTCACAACACCGTCTTTCTTGGACATTCTATTTACGATGGAGGAGGAAGTAAACAACCATCTGGCCTTCCTAAATTGCCTCGTTTAGCGCAAAGCTAGGGATGGCCTTAAAAACAAAATGTTCAGGAAATGGATAAACACGACGCACATATTGAGTTTCTAAGGAGATGCGTAAGGGCGCTTTACTGGCGCGTTGAGACGTACTGCACTGAAACGGAAAACAACAATTGCCTAATTACAATATCTCCTACAGATACAGAGAGCGAATGGCCACCGGCGCAAATTTGACAACCAGTGTGTTCGCAAACGAGGGCAACAACGGTGGAGTTAATAACCATTTATCCCTATGTAGTTACAGTAAGCCACTGTTTCCAATCATTTTGCAAGGTCTTTTATCCGTCTATA